CTCAAGAATGCTTCCCAAAGTGAGTTGCTGTGAGACTTAAGCTCAGAAGTTCATAATAGTACAGGCTATATTCTTGGTTTCCAGTTCTGTGGGATTGGGTGTACATAGGAACCTTTCTTATAGTTAAGATCTCGCCCTAATTCAAATTAGATAAACTTGCAAACAGCACTGATGATTAGATCCTAGTATTCTTCTGTTAAAAATCATTATATCTTGTTTTCTGCTTATATCATTGCTTCAGTTATTTCAGCTGCAGCTTGCTTTATTTCTTCCCAGCCTAGAGGAATCTTACTTTCTTAGCCTGTGAGCTTAGATATCCCTGCAAATGAATTTAGGAGAAATGATTTTGCTGGTGTTTTCAGTTTCCTTCCCCCTTCTATAAAGTGTGTTTTAATTTTATTAAATTGAGATTTAACACACACCAGTGTATGTCTATGCTAGGGGCTTTTGAGCTAGGTATAAACCAACTTGCATGGGGATGAGAAACAGAATAGCAGCAGTCATTGGGACCAAGATGCAGGCTGGCTGGGAAGGTACTTGTCAGCTGTATGTGAGAATGCATTTTGGCAGTTACGCTTTTTAACTTTGTCATGACAAAAGCCTCCCTGTGTTTCAAGGTCTCAGATGTTTGTATTGAGCAAAACAGAGGAACTTGGGGAGGCAGTTCAAATTAATTAGACATGTTAGAATTGTTTTCTCAGGGCTTAAAGTTGTTGCTTGAGAGATATTTATGTTAGAAATTCCTTCTCTGACAGGTACAAATAAACATTTATTGTATGAGCGAGATGGCCCTGCAAGCTCAGGGACATGAGAGATGTAATGAGAGATGGCCCTGCAAGCTGTGGCATTTCATCTGGTACACGGAGCAAAGGCATGGGAGTCCCGTGTGCCATTTGTAATTCCTAGGTCTGAAAAGTGTTCATTTGTTAACACCCTGCAGTTACTGTCTTCTGGACACGGGCTGTAGTGAAATCTCTGCAGTGATGTATGTGTGCTGCTTTGCCTATGCAGAAATGGGTATGCTCAAGTGACATGAGCTGGTGGAAAGCAGAGTGAAATGCTGTCTTTAATCTGTGCAATCTGATTTCAAGATACAGCTTTTCATGCCATTACTTACCAAGAAGCATTATGGGACTTTGGTTTGCTTGTGTGTAGGGTTTTGAAAAGCTCTGGCAAACTTTCTTGCTCTGGTTTTAGAATAGTGCAGTGCCAGTAAAGCAACAGATGAAAATGACAATGTGACTTAGACTGAACTTAATTCTCTTAAGCTTTCAAAGGAAGCAGGCTTTGAGCTAAGGCACTTGTTTGCAGACTGAAGCAGCTATGTGCAGTTGCAAGTATCTCACTGCTGCTTCTGACAACTTAGAAGGGGTAGAGAGGATCGATCTCCCACCCGAGTGGCAATGCAATCTGTCACAACTCTGGTGTTGAGTTTGGCAGGTCTCAGTTGAAGATATTTACTGTAATGTCATTTACCAAGAGTGAATTGCATAGCTCTGTAAAGAAACGAACTGAAACAGGGAGGTTTCTAACTTGATCTTGATCATGTAGCTGCTGATGATGCCATGGGGCTTTCATAGGCCAGTTCCTCCAAAAGCATCCAGGAGGCAATTCTATCCCAGGTCCTGCAAGGCATGGCTGTTTGTTCTAGGTGACAGGCCTAAGCTTTGGGTTTGGATGGTTTTATTAGGACTTGGCTGAGAATTTCAGTTCATCTTGTCCTGGTGCAGGTTTTAAAGGGTATGTCTTCAAACCAGAATTAGTTTGGACTGCAGAGCCCTGCTTGTGTCAGGCTTGAGCTAATGCTGTGATAGCTTAGGTGGCACACCCAGGAGGCAAGATGGTGTTTGTTTTATTTAGAGCATCTCTTTTCAACTGGACTGTTGGTCTGTCCCAGCATATAAGTATCTGCACTAGAGTAACCACGCTGTGCATTTTATTCTGTCTTATTTCAACTCATGATAACAAATGCATTGTCATGTACCAGTAACTCCTGAGATACTTTACTAACTGCTGTCTTTAAGACCTTTTGAAATAGGATGCCACATCTTCAGGCAAAGAACAAACACATTCAAATAGACATATGTATAATAAAGGACGGGGGAAAAAAGCAACACCAGAATTTTTCACTCCTTGCCTTACCAAAGGACCAACTTTATGTAGCATTACATGCTAATGTTTATATAGCGTGCTTTGTTTTCATTTGGGGATGTTCAAAGGGGACTTCAGTATTGTAGTGAAATGTGGAAGATGTGGACAAGCAGCTGACTGGAAGTTCAAAAGTGGTTGAAAAGTTGTAGAATGAAAGCTGGTTTATTTTCCACGTGCCAAGAATCAGTTTAGTTTTATTTAGATGAAACCAGATTATGGCACTGAAAACTCAAGTGTATCAACATTCTTCCACAGAGCAAGTTGGGAAGTGCTGTCACAGTTGAACTAATTGTTGATTATACAAATAGTCTTGCTGCGTATTTTCTTAAGACTTCAGGAATGTTTTGTGCTACAATAGATTTAGGGAGGGTTTTATTCTGAAGGGAAAATATAGCAGTAATTGAGTTAGGAATGAAGATACGAAATGTGGGGTTTTCTTCACTGGCGGGGGGGGCTTGCTTAAAATTAATTAAATATTTGCTTTCAAGCATTTAATCCTTATCTTTGAGGCATGGACATGCTACCTCTCCTTGGGGCTTGTTGTAAAACTCTATTCAAACCTTTGTGGTCCCTTACATAGTGGGTAATGCTGTGAAGGATCAGCATCCCTCTTTTGTTGAGGTCCTGCTTTTGTCCTGTTGTTCACTTGACATAGCCACAAAGAAGGCTTGAATAGTAGCTTGTGATGAGTTTGAGCACTGGGCTTTTCAAACCCTGAGCCTTTTGCTGTCATTGCTGACAAGAATGTATTGGTTTGTGCTATTTAGAAACAAAAAGCAAAACCCCAAACCCCTGTTCTGCACATCTGTTGGTTTTATTGTTCAAGAGAAAAAGGAAAATTGCATTGTTTTGTAAGGGAGATGAGATACTTTTTTTTCCATTTAGGTATTTCAAATTTAACTCCATGGCACATTCAAACAGTGATTTACAAAAGGTCTGGGATAAATGAAGCTCTCGGCTTGGTGACTTTTGTAATGCTTTCAGCCTTTCCCTCCTCTGCAAAGGTAAACATAAAACCACTGAATACTCTTAAGAAGGTGTCGGGGGAAGCTACCATCTCCTTGCATCCCAGACAAGAGTACCTGTGTTACCCTAATACATGTTATTCCCATGTGAATGCCTTAAGGTCTGTGTAAGGGACCTACTTATCTATAACTCTCTAATTCGAAGTAATTGATTACCCTGTCTGAGATGATTTCAGGATTTACTAGATATTTGAAGTGAATTGCTGCAAGAGTGGAAGGTGGTTAGAAGGCATTACCCTGAGAAAAGGGGGATTGTTGGCATGGGTGAGTTACTCTTAGGAGCAGGTGTTACTGAGAACAACTGTGACGACAAAAAAACCCATCTCAGGACTGGATCCTGAGAGATTCCTTTTGGGAAGTGTTAAGACTTGCCCCATTTTTGTGACAGTACTCTTTCAGAAAGAACTGCTGAAATCACATTTAGCATTTATTCTTTGATTGCCTATTGAAAATACATACCTTGTTTAAGCAGACTTTCTGTACTTAACTTCTGTTGGTGCTATACATTGTGTTAGATTTACAGTGATGGACCTGCATTCTCTATTCCTTTTTTCTATTAAATTCTGGATGCTGCTTTCTGCTAGAGATTCCACAGATATCTTCCTATATATGTTATGTTTCTGTGTATTGTGTATTCCTAGATGGATGACAGATACGAGACATGAACAAATGCCTGCAGCAATCACACTTTCACTATGGGTTTTGCATGTAGTCATCAAATCTGTGTCTGGAGAGGATGCTGTGAGAGAGAACCTCCATGGTTTATACAGTATCAGGAGATGGTAGTTAAATGAGTCAGTTGAGCTCTGTCCTGTTGAGCAGGGGAGTGGGAAAAGCACACCTGAGATACAGGTATTAACTTTGTTTTAAAGAGCCTGCAAAAGTAGGTTATTGTTTTCCATGCCTCTGATTCCACTTTGCTATGATAATTCTTTGCTTACCTGCTGGACACTGGGCCACGTTGTTCTTCAGAAGAGTTTTGCTGCCAAGTCTTAAACCACTGAAATCCTTCAGTACGTTGAACAGGTTTTAGTGTTTTCCATCAGTAAGAATGCAGGAATAGCTTCAAGCTGTTCTTTAAAACTGCTGCCACAGGATGGGGCTGTTGCACTGCCCAAACATGATCTGTCACTTCGAAGAACTGCAACTGAGCACTGTTTTCAGTGCTAACCTAAAACTCCACTCCTGTTGCTTTTCTTTATTGTTCACCAGTCCATGTAGTGTGGCCTCAGTTTATCCACTTTCAAGAGGTAGGAAATTTGGAGTAAGGTGTTGTTGGCTTGCTGAGTGTAGATCAAGTTTGTTTCTTTTAGAGGCAGCTTTGTACCATATGACAAGCCCAGGTAGTGAGGTAATAATCCACATAAAGGGGATTTGGTTCATATATCGCAGAATATGTTAAATATTAAATTTGGGGGGGGGCCTAGGCCTTTATTAAATCCATATTTGTGTTTCAGAAATGTGCCAAGAAGTGTTCTAATGAAGCAGCACCTGGGGGTTAATAAATGATATCATGGATCCATTCTGATTGCCAAGAAAGATTTTAATAAAGGAAGCCATGCCCAGGGTTGACTGTTTCATCCATGAGGAATAATTGTTTTGTTCCCATATTTCTTTTATTGGTTGGTTAAAACAGGTTTGCTTTTTAGCATCAAGTCATTTGTGATTGACCTGCGTATTTCTGTGTACCATTTGCACGAAGAGATAACCTGTTCAAATTGTAAGTGTGAGAGGTGTTATTTTGATTGAAAGAAGAGCTTCCATCTTTTACTGCCTTTCACATTGATCTCATCTTTCTCTGTTCTCCTTCCCTCAAACATTCAGGGCGAAGTGAAGTCTGAAGAGGGTCCAGAATGGAATATACTGCGTGATGACTTCATGATGGGAGCATCTATGAAAGACTGGGACAAGGAAAGCGATGGAGAGGGCAGTATTGAAGAAGGAGGTGGTCTGAAACAAGAAGATGACAGTGACTGAATGGAACTGAAAACCATTCAAGATAATGTTTTATCTTCTTTATTTTCTTTGGATAAAAAGCCAGCATTCTGTGAATGTACAACACTTGGAGGATATCTTTTTAAAGAAAAAATGGAAAAGACTTGCACAACTTTGGAGTGTTTTCTCCTTCATGTCAGACTTTTATTTAATACAGCTTCATTTGCTATACTGAAATCCTGAAATATTTTCCAAAACATGCATAATTTTCAACATATTTCCAAAACATTTTGTACAGTCAAAATAGTGGCACCTGCCCAATGAAAGACTGATTTTGCCAAGGTCATTAAAAGTTTATACATTAGTCATGGCAAGTGATGTATTAGTGTGCCTGCTTTTCCAAATCAGCGTTGCACATTGAAAGTTGTTAGCAATTCACAATAGAAATGGCTTACAATAAACACAGAAATGCCGTCACCTTGTAAAGTTATCAGACTCCTCTAAAGTCTTTACTACTTTGGCCAGAAAAGGTTTTGTAGATAATAAAGTAACCATTAATGTGATAGTTCTGGTCTTGGAGCATTAGTTTGATTGGAGACAATTCTGGAAACATAATTGTAAAATGAGAGACTTGACCCTACTGATTGGCTTTTATATTTTGTTTTATATATATATTTTTATATATATATGGAGGTATAGTTTTTTCCATTGCAAGTCTGAAGTTGTATAAGCTAAGAGACTGATAAGAGAGGAAAGGACAATCATTGCTATTATTTTTGTTGGAGGAGAGAGGGCTTTTCTAGCAATACTGCATAAAATTCTGTTCAGTGTTTCCTCATTTGCAGTTCTGGTGTTCTGGCCTTTTTCAGCACGGAGCTGGACCTCCAGGATACATCCTGTGGGTTTAGGCAGCTGCAATGCTAATTCCTGAGGTCTGTAAAGGGTCAAACAAAAGCCCTTCCTCTTAGGTGCATACTGTAACAGTAGCAGATTTTGGAAGACATCTGTCAGGGTAACACTGTTTGTCTTTGTTCAAGCCATAGCAATTTCTCCTAATTGGTTGTTTAGTTGCAAAGGTGCAGAAGCTAACATACATAAGAAGAATATATTCTTTAGAAGCATATGCATACAGAGGAAGTGCGTTGTGATGAAGGTGTTCTAAATGAGAGGCTGGGGCTGAATTCTGCTGCCTTCTCTGTTTCAGACTGGCTGGCTGATGCTGTGTCATTTGTTTAACTTTTCTATCACATTTCAGATGTGAAGAAAATGCCTTGGGGCTTATTAATTGATACTTAAAAAGCATAGTACTATTCTGTCTGTTTCTACAGATGTCTTGCATACAAACCTTCCTTTGTACCTGCTTACATGCAAGATAGCATTGAAATCTGTGTAGGACAGGGGATTTGGATTTTCCCAACAAAGGCACTGAGGAGGGGAGGGGGTTTGATCTTTGTGTATACTGCAGGAGAAAAAAAATACACATACAGAATGGCAGAGAAACCCATCCTAACAACTGGCAATGCTTGTGTTATCCCTGGTGTGTTCATCTGGTGTATATACTGTAGCATAATTCTTTGAGGAGAACTCAAAGCTAACAGCAGAAATGTTTAGATTTTCAAGCTGCTTTGAGTGTTAAACATATTAGATATCTGAGGAGACATTAGTTTGTGGCCTGATATTTATTATCACAAATGAAGGCATACACCCAAAATATCAAGTGGTAAAACCACAGAAGTTTGACATATGGTTATCCGGGCTTCTGAAGGCCAGATATCTGTATAGCTGTTCAGCAAGAGTTGGCATCTCATTGGTGCAATACAATGATAGACTATAATAGATTTCAAGTAGCTACTTAAGCAGAATAGCAGCATAATAGTCTAATCTGATATTGCTTTCTTTCTACAGAGCTCAGTTTGTGTGGAAAAATTACATCAGCACCTTTAAATCTACAGTTGCTCTTTTGTTGGATATCACTATTATCTGCCTGAGATCAAACTTTTGGAAAGCAATCTAGTTTTTCTTAGGAACTGTGACATTATGGCATTAAAAATACTCTCAGACTATTTCTAGAATACTTGGGTGTTTGGGTATTACTTGTGCATTTTTGAAGTGATGTTTTAAGTGTCACTTGTGTATTTAAGAAAAACATGGAGTGTATTGATATTGCTAAGAATACCTTGCGCTTTCATTTCATAGCAGTACTTTCTGCCTGTAAGTGGAGAGCATTTCTTGCCTTTTCAGAAGCATAATACTCATTATGTATATGGAATAGTTTTAGATTTTGATGCTGCACCTTGCCTTTGCCTTGTCCTTTGGTTGTGCCATATGCAGAGAAACTCATAGAGTAACTTAGATTGGTAACTACCTCCTAAAGTGAAATAAGCTCCAGACTCTTTGTGGCAGGTGGAAGTGTGTATTTTAACTTTAGGCATTTGGTGGATGATTTATTTCACAAGCTTTATTGTAATGGACTAGCAGTTCAAGAGAAGAGCTAAACTCTGTTTGGCTCCTACCCCTTCCAGTCTCCTCTCTCAGCTGTGGGATCAGGCTCTACCCGCCTCCCCACCCGCTTTTCCAGTAATGTTCTTCCTTTTCCATAGCTACCAAGAACAACCTTCAGCAGCTTTTCCCAGCCAGCAGAGTGCTCAGTCTGTTTTGCCTGCTCCCATGAATATCTCTGCTTAAGCAAAGCTGTGCTGCTGCCCTTCATTCCAGAGAGCATGAATCATCTCAACTTTGTGTATTTCTGTACCTATCTATATAAAGCCAATAAGGATGGGGTGGTTCCAGTTTTGTTAGGCTTTAAGCCAGCTCTAGAACATGTAGAGTTTAATATTGTATGGATTGCCTGCAAAGCAACAAAGTGGTGTTTAATAGGAAAAGGCAGAGGTTCAGCTCTTCCCCATGTTTCTTACCCTCTGGTCTGATTTCTGTTCATGTTAATTGTGCCAATTCTTTTTCAGCAAGGAGAGCATGAGTTGGCCTATGGAGGAAATAGAGAGAGACCCATCTTACTATCTTCTCTCTGCTTTTCTGCAGCCTGCTCTTAAGGAAACACCTTGTGTGTGATGGTGGAGTATCCTTGTTGTGCCTGATGGTACTGCACCACAGCGTCTTCCCTGCTAAAACAGGGAGGGAAGAGCTCCCACTTCTGCAGCTGTGAGGCAGGTTCTCAGAACGAAAGAGCTGGAAGCTGCTTGCTAGAGGAGATAGGGCTTTGTGTGTGTGTGCTTTGTTTTAGAGAGAGAAATGGTTGGAGGCCATAACAGTGTTTTGACTATCTGATGCTTCCAGAAGAAGGTGGTCTGTAAAGCTGCATCTGTTCAGAGCTGGCTCAGTAGCTGTCTCCAGGGAGGAAGGCAGAAGTCATCTGGCACACAACAGTCTGTGCAACTTAAAATGACAAACTCCTCATTCTTATGAAATGAGTCCTGGCGTAGTTAATATCCACACAGAGCAGTCATCAATGCTGTTCACTTCCAGCCCCTGCAAATTGCTCAATGATTTCTTCAAGACTTGCTGAGGTAAGCAGTAAGAAGGCCAGGAGAAGGGTTGAGGAAGTGAAGACTCTTAGGATCTTAATAAAGACATAGGATCCTATTACTAAATAAGATGTTAAACTTGGACTTTAGGACCTCAGTGGTAGACACTGGAGAGTGGACAAGGTCTTGGTTACCAGATTATGGAATAATCTAAAGCAGTAGCTTTCAACCTCTTGTCAGTATGTAAGCCTCAAAGGTTTCGCCTCTGTAGATGATCTAGCAGATAAGGGCTTTTCCTTAATCATTCTTTTTCAGACTGATAAGGATGGCTGATATTTCTTAGACAAACCATTTTGTTTTCAAATGCATCTGTTTAATTGCTGTTCTGTCTTAAGGGACATGTTGTAATAAAGCTCCAGTCAAGCTGAATAGCTTCAACAACAGAGATGCCTGTGCTTGTGTAATGCTTCATCCTTTGGAATGATTTCTTTTTGTTTACATCCATGTGTTTAATCTGCTGGATAACAAATTGTACAATGAATTAGGACGCTTTCATCAGGTCTTCACATGTGACCTCATGAGCACAAATGGTTTCCAAGAGGCACTTTGGAAGGTGATTTTAGGAATACTTATAAAACCCCTTATTTCTTCACAGTGCCTCAGTGATTTTAATAGCCCTTTCTCTCATGCCAGTGAGTGAACTTTCTGAGCATTATTTTGCAACGTTTTCCTAGTGTTTCTTAATTCTGTTTTCGGTATATGTGGTGTTAACTGTAAACTGCTAACCAGGATCCAACTTGCAGTGAGGTTTGATAACAGTAGGATTTCTTACAGATGTAAGTGTTTTCGGAAGTAGCTAAATAATTAATAGAAACAGTTCACTTGAAAGATAAACTGGTTTACACTTCTTATCAGGAACTCAATGTGTAATTTAGAAACGGTTAAGTATACAGCCTGCTGATGTTATGTACTAATCGGGTCTTCAAATTATGTCTATTATAGGCATGTTTGACCACAAATAGAACGTAACAGGGGAGTTTGTGATAGTTTTAAAACTTGTTTGAATATTGAGGTCCTTAAAGATTCCACTAGCCATAAATCACAAAGTAGGTAGGCAGTAACGTATTGCGAGAGTAGGTAGTTGTAGGTAGAAATATGGGTATCAACAGTTCTGGCCTTCACTGCCAGCTCTGCCAGTGGCAGAGGTTTCTAAAAGTGTGCTTTTGAAGCAGCCTTTTGCTTAAGGTACCTGTATCCAGGGACAAATACTAGTCTGTGTCCATCTCAGGAAGAGTGCCTGAGGTCTGGCAGCTGAATGTTAACTGTTACTACAGGGCTCAGCACATGAGCTTACTGCATTTTCTAATTGAGACTGTGTATACCTGCCTGGACATCCATACAGTCACCGTCTTCTGGTGCTCATGAGAGATAAAGAGCAACAAAACCCACGCTGATAGCCTATCCACCATTGTGTTGTAGGTCTGTTTCCTCAGTTACAGTCCCAATGAGTTCCAAAAGAGCTTACAGTTCATACGTAAAGGACATTGCACAGGTACTTCTTGGTAACAAGTATAGTTTTGTATACAGTTGGGGTTTAGGTGACTGAAATACTTGACAGTATCTTGTTATGTGCTTATGAAATATTCTTTTAAATAAGAAAAGGCATCACAAAATTGTCTACTTGGTGTCACTTTATAATAACAGAAGAAGACTGAATTTCAGAACCTGCAGGCAAGATCCTCAGTTTCACAGAATCACGGTATCATTAGTGTGGGAAGGGACTCTGTAGATCATCCAGTCCAACCCCCTACCAAGGCAGGGCCACCCAGAGCAGGTTACACGGGAACATATCCATGGTGGATGGAACTCCACAGCCCCCTGAGCAGCCTGTTCCAGGGCTCTGCCATCCTCAATGTAAAATTCTTCCTCAGGTTGAGGTGACACTTGTTGTATTTCAGTTTATGGCCATTGCTCCTTGTCCTGTCGCTGGGCACCACTGAAAGGAGTCTGGCACCATCCTGCTGTCACCACCTCTGAGATACTGATCTGCATTGATGAGATCCT